CAGTTGGCAGCCTCCGTGAGGGCGCGAATCTCCTTCATGCGTCGCACAAACATCGCCTCGAGGACCTCGGTGCAGTAGAACTCGGGCGAGTCGTTGGTGTAGACGAGGCGGGCGTTGGAGAAGAGGCGGTTGCCCGCCAACGACACGTCCCCCAGCGATCGATACGCGCCACGCTTGAAGGCCTCCATGAACCGAATCAGATCTGGAATGTGCAAAGACAAACAAACCCGCGTGAGACGCACTCCAGCGGAACGACAACAAACGCGGGGCGCAACGTCGCCGGCGCTGCTCACCTGTGGGCTCCTTGGGCGGAGACGTGAGCTTCCTCAGAGCCAACACGGGAAAGGGCTTCATGAAGGGCCACGAAAGCTTGTGCGCCTAAAATGAATACCCGATTTAGGTAAGAAAGATAGAAAGAAGCGACGCAGACAGAAACACATCGGCTACGCCTACAATTCTGAGCACCGAGGGGTGCAGCCCGGACCGGAAACTGACCTGCAAATCGGCAAGCAGCTTGTCCACCGCCTTCTTCACGGGCTCCGTCAGCGAGGCCTCATAGAGCGTCTTCTGCTTCACGTCGCCTTTGTCGGCCTTAGTCTCCACGTTCTCGTCTGCCTTGGACTTTGACGTGCCGACGCCAGCTTTCTTGACACAGGCAGGGCAGATGTACTCGCCTTCGTGGTTGGCCGCGGCTTCCGGTTTCAGGCCCACGCACTCCGCGTGGTACCACTCGTCGCATTGGTCGCAGGCGATGTAGACCCTAAGCAGCAGACGAAAAAACGTCACAGCTACTTACAGATAATAAGTAGAGCGGGAAGGAGTGAGAGATTAGTTACCGAGCCGCGTCGTAGGGCGTGCGACAGAGGCAGTAGACCTCCTCGCTGGCCTTGTTTTCATCACGCTGGCAGTCGGGGCAGTGCCACGAGTCGCCGAGAAGAGCAGGAGACGATCCTGGCTTGAGTCCGACACACGTGAAGTGGAACCAATCCTGGCAGAGATCGCAACCAATGTACTCCCTGGAAACATAAAGGCACGAAATCAGCACGAGGGCACTTTTAATTGGGCGAGGAAGAGGGCAACGTACTGGCTGGGATCGTAGGGCTGCTTGCAGATACAGTACACCTTGTCCTCGTCGGTTTCACCCTCTGGCACACTTTTGCCGTCACTCGTCTCGTCCTCGACGTCTGATTGGCTGGCCAGCACCGAGGCCCCCTCCTCCTCCTCCTCTGCCTCCTTGAGCAGGTAATTCGGCGTGCGAATGGGGAGACGGGGTCTAGGAAGGGCGGCCTTGCTAGCGCCGCCTCGGCCTTTGCCTCGAGCCTTCCCACGACCTCCACCGACCTTCTTCGCCACGACTGGAGCCGGTGGAGAGGCTGGCTTGGCGTGGACTTGACGCGGGGCACCTCCGCGTGGGCGTCCGGGGCGACGACCTCGAGGCTACAGCGGCAGAAGGCACCTCGTCAGTGTCATGCTACTTGCCCATTAGCGCTGACAACCACAAGAATGACTGACCGTTGGAGCCACGGCGCCAGTTGTATTCTTCATCATCCTCTCCTCGCGCACCGCGCGCTCCAGGTCGAGCTGAGTGGCCTTGGGTGGCGCCGCGTGCATCGCGCAGCGCTCTTCGTCGGAGTCGGTGGCGGGATCGGTTTCGGGGGTTGTCGGGGACCGCTTCATGGGTGGTGGTGGTGGCGGTGACCGACGGAGCGGCTGCTGTCTGGCGATGGCCGACTGGCGCGAGGACCCGCGTTTCCCCACGACAGGCGACTTGCCGCGTGCTCCACCCGCGGCTTTTGCGAGGGGTTTCGGGGAGGGAAGGGGGGACAGGCGTTCGGGTGTCGGTGACTCTGAGATGTCGCCCTGCTGCGCCTTACGAGCCCGCAAAATGTCCTCCTGTGATGGGTTTTTAAGAGACACAGTAGACTTGCCATGCACGAGCTGGCTAGGGGCGAATATGCCGAACTCACTTGAACCTGCAGAGCGAGCACTTTCACCGTCAACCTCCGCCGATTGGCCAGCTCCTCGGCGAGGGCGGTTGCGCGCGTCTCGAGGGCGGCCTTCTCAGTGCGAAAGCGTCGATTCGCCGCGGAAATGCGCGCGGCGTGCGACGCAGCAAGACTCCTGGCCCGCGCCCGAGCGGCCTCGGATTTGGGCGACAGCGGGGCGGGCGGTGCTGAGGTGCGTTTCGGAGCAGGGTGCGGCGGCGGTGGCGGCGGCAGCGGAGGCGGCAGTGTGTAGCTGGACGTGTTCGTGACCTGGGACATCGGATTGGACGCAAACTGATGGCCAGGCATCACCGGTGTCTGTAGACCCTGGGGTCTGCTGGAATTGACGATGAGCGGCCGGAAGGCGGGCTGCGGCACGGACACTGAAAAGAAACCGAAGTCGACTGATTCGAACGACGGACGGCACAGACAGAACTACTTTTTGAATAACTCACTCGGAGTGCTTGAGGGGGCGAGGGGTCTTGCCGAGGAACTAATCAACAGCGGCTTCGGTGGATCCACGACAACGGGAGCGGGGGGTGGTGGGGAGGGTGGAGGGGGCGGCTTCGGGGACGGGGCTTTGGGAGGTTCGGGCGAAGGACATCGGGCTGGTTGGATCCAACTGCCCCGTGGAATCCGACCATCGGTGTTGTCTTCGCAATCGTCGGTTTTCACGGGGACCGACAAATCGCTCACAAGACCCTCTGGAAGCCCAGAAAGCGCCAATGGCGGCATCGGAGGCGGGTACTCTCCATCGATTGGTAGCAGACTAAATCACCAAAAGGACGATTTAACCACAAGGGTAGGTGGGGTAGCACACACACTTAAAAAGCCATGAAGTGACATTCACTTGTCAAAGAAGTTTCGGATTTCCCACAACTGGAGGGCATCTTCGCTGACCCACTCCTCCTTCCTTGCGTCTCGTTTCGACGTGGATGCGTTGTCATCCGCAGCTGCCTCCTCCGACACACGCTCCTCCTCCACCTCGTCGTTGTTTTCCTCGTCGGAGCGGGGGTTGCGTCGGCGCCGGGAGTTGTTGGCGTTGGAGCAGGGCACACCGACACGCCAGCCCTCGTCGACCGCGGGGTCGTAGTCGGGGTCGGCGAAGCGACGCGCGCGGCCCCAGCGACGCGGAGGCGGGTCATCGCCAGAACCCAGGGTCGATCGAGAAGCCACCCGGTTGGCGCGTTTGCGAGTCGCTGGCTTGTGCACCGACGTTTGCACGAGAAAGTTCGCGCGCAGCCAATACTTGTCCTAGAAGGTGGATGGACACAGCGGAATTAGCGAGGCTGTTGTAGGGCGTACTTTGGTGTGACAACCGAAGACTCACGAGTGGTTGGATGGCGGTGAGTCGTCGCAAGGTAAAGCCGCCACCGTGGCTTTCGGCGATGACGAGCTTGAGGCAGTATCGATCGAAGGCGTCGAGGGCGGCGTCCTCGCAGACACCGGCCGAGACCACAAGGTCGTCCCAGCGTAGGCAGTGCCACAGGAAGCGCAGGTTCGTGGCGAGAGACGCCAGCAGCACGCCGTAGTGCGAGGGCGCGTTCAACTCGCCACAAGTCGACCGACTCACCGCGCCGCCCTCGTTCACGATCTGACGCAGGCGGAAGCGCCAGGCCTCGGCGAAACACGGACGCGCAGTTGGGTACGACCAGGGAATCTACATTAAAGGCACGTGTGCTCACAACTCAGCAACTGGGTGTGCTTCTCTGGCTTAGAAATACATTCGGGGCTCAAAAAGCACTGGTTTTTTTCTTCATTTTTTTTCGGTAAGGTAAGGTGTGGCCCATGGGTTGGACTTTGACGGGCATCAACAGTTTTTCTCGTTTTGCCCCCCAGCATAGCCTCGAAATCTGCTTAATTTGTACATTTGACACCTGAGCTGAGAGATACGGGTTGAGATAACTTTCCGCACCTCAGCATAAAGCCAGTTGGTGCACAATCAGGCCAGTTGACGGCCAATCGTATCATATGGAAGCAATGAGACCAAATCATTCGCTGTGTGAATACAAAGTACCAAAACGAGCACAAATAGGATTGAAAAAAAATCGAAATTCGAGTGGAAGGAAAAGGGAGGGTAGTAGTGCGTACCGACGCGAGGCGTTTTTTCTCGGCCTCGTAGCCGGGGATGTCCTTCCTGCCTGCGGCTAAAATCACCCCACGGAGGTTAGCGCGGTTCAGACGAAAGAGGCTCGGTGTGACCACGACAGAGTCGGGCGCCTTGCCGCCCTAAAATGCACAAATTTACACCGGTGAGACGGGATTCGACTCGATGTGCGCGAGAGCCCATGAACAAAGGAATCGGGAGCATACCTCTTCCCTCTTGGGGTGGTCTGAGAGTGTGTTTGCATAGAATAGAGGATCCGGAGGCCAGGAGTAGGCGTTGATGGGAGGCAGGTGCTTCGGGAGGACGAGAAAGCGTCGGCCGGGTGGCCGGCTGGTGGCGGCGGCCGCCTTCACAGCCCGGTCCAATCGATCCAACAGCAGGGCGTCGTGCGTCTTGTTGATGTTTAGGGAGTAGGCGTAGGCGGTGTGGCAGCCCGATCGCTTCACCAACTCCTCCTTCTCCTCCACCTGCACGCTCACCTCTGCCAGCTGCAACTCGAGTTGTTTCAGCTGAAATGACAAGGGAAATGATTAACCCAACCGACAATGCATTAGACTACTTCCCTCAACTGGCAGTAGTTTTAGCAAGGTCTTGGGATAGAGGATTCAGCGGAAACACCTCCAGAGACACATCTCCAGTGGAGGATGGGTCTAGACTAGGCAAGAACCCAGTTCAGATCAAGGATATCAGAGCTAAATTGGCCCACTGCCGAGTTAGATCGTGCCGAAATCAACAAAGCCTTCCCGGAAACATTGATGGAAGCAGGACCGACATAACGGCAAAATGAGTCGTACTGTCAGCGAGTAACGCCAGTAACTGGCTCAAAATACTGTAAAAATCGTTAGCATGGAGAAGACTTAGTGTACGATATCTAAAATTAGAGAATCCATCAGTAACGGCTGCGACTTTTGCGTCTAGCACGAAGCCACAGCGCATCAACTAGCAGAGATACCGGGGATCTAACCTCTTTGCGAAGATTGAACATTTCCAAGTCGACTTCGTGCAGTCTCTTGGCGGCGTTGGAGACGGCCAAGTCGAGACTGGGGTCCAGCTCCATGGGCACAACGCGCATCATCCGTGGTCGCAGTGACGGCGCCAGTTGGGGAGTTAGCATCTGAATGGGGAGGTGAAACAAGGGGGTCAGACCAGTAGGTACTCAGTCTCATGAAGATCGTGTTTTGGAGTTTCTTGGACAGATACAAAAACGGGGGTTTCTCGCAGTGGGCTTTTACACTTCTCGTGTCCGACTATCCCGCCACCTGGAACCAAATGTCGAGTTTCCAACGGATAACAATACCGTCGCGTTGTGGCGTTCCGTTTGTAGTGACGGTTGCGGCTCAAAAGGGGAGACGAGTGGAACAACTTACAGGGCGATTGGCAGGCGCAAGGAGCGGTCTCAAGGCCGAGCCCCGATTGGCTCCCAGTGGAGAGGGGGCGATGGAGACCAGGGAGGGCGGCTGCAGCGGCGTTTTGGGGGTCAACTGGGGCGTCACCGCTCTGGCACGGACGGGCGCCGAGGTTGACACGACCTGGACGAAATTAAGAGGATTGCGAACCGTGGAGTGCGTCGAAGTTGACGCAGTTGTGTTCAAGGGAAGGCTGGAGGGGGTTATCAATCGATAGCCCGCGGGCAAGGTGGACGCCTGGGTCACTATAACGCCGCCGCCTGACGACAGCTACACAGAGAAATGAAATTTCGGTGTCTCAAAAAGTCTTCTATATAGAAAGTGAGAAGAAACAAATAATATGTGCTACGAACTCACCTGTATGAGTGACTTCTGCAGCGCAGAATCGGTAGCGGCAGGAATTATGAGGTTTGTCCCAGCGGCTAAAATAATTACGTAAGTAAAGGTAACACCAATGCGAAGATGCAGGCAAGTCGAAATTCAAAAGTTGGCAGGCTTCGGACATTGCTGGAACCCTTCATATCAACCTGGCTGCAGTAGTTTGTGGGCCCCAGCATGTGGTCTTGAACCATGCCGGGGCCACGGAATTAACCCTGGCCCGATTAAACGTTTGCCTGATGCCCGCGATGAAGAAAAAGACAGGAGAGGGCGTGGACACAACCGTTTACTTCAGAGCTCAACCACGTTGGTGTCGTTGTGTCGTGTGTGGGGTTTACGCGTGTGTATTTATACCTCGGATGTGTGAGCCATCATAGATGCGCTAACATCGAGACCTGTGTGTGGGGACACTCCAAGATAAATATCCGTGTGAATGAAGGGGGAGTTGAGGATTCGCGCACAGGAGGTGGAGCGACCGGACTAAGGGGTGTGAATAAACACGATTCCCGACAAGTCTGCACCCAGAAATAGTACAATGCAGTAACCGAAGTGAGTCATGGCCAGGTCGGCGGGCCCACAACTCCGGACACGATGTCATCACTTGTCTGAACGACTTACTTCAACAAATCGAAGTGCAGTAGTAGCACACAAAAGAGGTTCACTCCCAGATTACTTCAGACTTGCGAATTGGGCGAATGTTTTTCGCCTAGAACCCAACGCGCAGTCCCGAACTCAGAACAAACTCTCCTGATCAAGTCCATTGTCACCCAAGACCACTTGGGGAACCTTGTCGAATTCTTGAAGCAGTTCAATTAAGCCTTATGCAGTTTTCTTGGCATTGGTGTTGTGAATCGTGTTTATTCACACCCCTTAATCCGGTCGCTCCACCTACCTCCGACAAAGGGTTCCCCTTTTCCCCTCAACTCCACCCTCATTCACATGGATATTTATCTTGGAGTACCCCCACACCTAGGTCTCGATGCTAGCGCATGTATGACTCACACACCCGAGGTATAAATACACACGACACAACGACCCCAACGTGGTTGAGCACTGAAGCAAACGCCTGTGTCCACGTCCTCTCCGGTCTTTTTTCTTCATCGCGGGTATCAGGGAAACGTAATCGGGCCAGGGTTAATTCCGTGGCCTCGGCGTGGTTCAAAAAAAAACATGCTGGTGCCCACAACAATAATTTAGCACACCCTTCATGAACAGGCAAATGAATCGATAATTTCCGTGTCTGATTTAACACTTGTGGATTCTAGGTGCGGTGACATGAGACTTCGCTTACTTGTCTTGTTGAGTGTCGCGTGCAAAGACAGACCTTTCATTGTTACTAAGGAATTATTCGCCGACAAGCAAGTTACTCAGGCAATGCAAACCTACCAGACGAAGTCGTGGCGACGCCGCCGCTGTTCGGATCGACGGTCTGGATGATTTGGGTGCCCGCGGGGGTACCCGGGGGGCCGCGTAGGACCCTCACAAGGCGCACCGGCTGACCCCCCGGCGTTGTGGTGGCGACTGGAGTTGGCAGCACTGTCACACCCCCACCGCCGCCGCCGCCGCCAGCTGCCTGAGCCTGCGAGCCCTCTGAGGTATCACCGTTGAGCGCCTGCTGCGATAAAAAAGGGTGTGTGTGCTGATCAGACCGCATAATACAACGGAGATTGACGTGCCTTGGCCTTTACAAATGCGAAAATCAGCTTAGTTACGAAATGACTGTGTGAGACCAAACAAGGTAGTGACCGCGTTTGGAATCTTGAGCGCGATATCAATACCAAACTATCTTAACACCTGACGCAAGTGTTTTGCGAGGGGGGATGGATTTGAGAGAAGGCTTCATAGGTCACCGTATAGACGTTTAATATTAAATCGCAATTGTTAGAGCAGCGCCACGGTGGGTCACTAGACTGGGAATGCGTCAAGGGGATTGAGCATGCTGAAAGGTTCCACACAAAAGGGAAATATCTCTCACTGTGTGTCTGATCTGGACCACGGCGGGCGCTTTGCCTTCGAAGGCCTGAGCAAGGAGGCTCTTTCCGGACGGTGGAACCACAGTGGCCGACGGCTTCTGCTCCTGCCTCTCTCCGGTGGAGGAAGACGTGACGAGTGTCGTGGTTGGAATGGACTATGCGTGGAAAAACATGGAAAGACCATGAGATATCTACCACTTAGGACTGCTAGGTAGTGCCCTGTGAAGAGGCTTTTGGCTCAAATCAGAAATATGGCGACAGACACTGCAGGCACATTTGACGGCGTTTCAGTTGGTGGTTTTCGCATTCAAAATAAGAAGACGGGATTTAAAGACAATAATATACTACCTGACTTTGTTAACTAGGGAGTACCATACCAGTGTAGGAGAGCTCCAGATACGAAATTAGACACCAACCTTAATAAGAACCCTATGTGGAAGCCCACTGTCACCACTGTTTTCGTCGGTGCCACAGTCATCATCGTCGTTGGGTCCGTCGAATTGTGGTAATCCCGAGGCGCGGGGGTAATGCCCCCCTCCGTGAACCCAGGACTGGACGTTGGATGAAGTCGACGGTCGATACTCCACGTCCCTGTCACCATCGTCATCCGAATCACGTCGGCGGAACTCAAGATCCTCGTTTTCTAGCCTGTTCCGCCCTCCTCCCTCGTCCTCTTCGTCGTCCTCGTCGAAGTCCACTACGAAATCTGGATCAACGCTTTTCGCTTTTTGACGTCGCGAGCTCCGGCGAAGGACATTCGACCTTAGAATGGGAAGAAAAGAATCCTAAATACCAGATATGCACTCGTGTCCATCACACAATCTAGACACTACAGCAAGTGTTACGGGCGAGGTAACCGACACGACTCGATATCTAGGCGTCACTATGACAATTAGCAGGGTTTTAAGGAAGCCGGAGACAGAGAACTCGCGCATTTGACCTACTCTACTCTACTACGAGTGGACTGCGAGGAACTCACCCTGTAGTGCTGCTACCGGGAGGGGAAGACGACGACGCAGCCGAGTCATCGCTATTTGCACTATCCCCCGAGTCATAATTATACTCCTCACGCTGCAGCCGCCTTGAAGTGGCAGGTCGGCGTCCAGCAGTACCGTGACCCCCTTTTCGTCCTTTACCGCCACCGCCACCACCACCACCACTACAAGCACAGGAAACACAGGCCAATGGGTTGGGGGGAGGACGCCTGCGTTGGCCTTTAAACAGTCAAAAAAAGGGTAAAACTCACTGTCCGATTGGAGTGAAGGGTCGCGTGACACCATAACTAGGCGGACACCCAGTGAATCGTGGCTGTTGGCTGAGGCGCTTGATCTCCGCGATGGCCGCCTGACGCGCCTTCACCGCCTTGGCGTGCTCGCTGCGCGCGGACTGCGCCTCGGTGGCCAAGTGGGCGAGACGCGAGCGAATTTGCGAGACTCTGGCCGCCAGTGCGTCGCGCTGCTCCCGAAGCTGGTCGAGGTCACGGCGGGCCGCCTCACTGGCTTCCAGGTCGCGTGACGCGGCGGCCTCCCGGACGGCCAGTAGGAGGTCCAAGTGGAAATGCCTTCGCCCTCGACGCGTCTTCGGTGAAGGTGGAGGTGACCTTGCTGGCGGGGGGAAAAATCTCCCACCACCGTCCCGGAGACACTGAACGACAAAGGCGAGCAAATTGGAAAAATCTCGGGATTAAGAAATAACAAGAACGCGAGGCCCAATAAAACGCACCCTTGAGATGTCAATCACCGAAACCGATTCACTCTGGGACTCGTGCTTGTCACTGGTCGAGTCTCCACCAGCATCATCGACGACGTCCATCGCTTCGTCCTTCTTAACCAGGGTTTCTGCCTCCTCCTCTTGCAGTGCCTCACACGAGACCTTGTAGACGCAACGTGGAGCATTTCTGCAGAGGGGCACACCGGTGATGGGATGTAGTCCGTAGTCCAAGATGGGCTCTTGAGAAACTCGTGGATGGAGATCCTGTTGGAAAACGAAACGAGTCACTTCAAATATCGATTTTTTTCTGGTTCGTTAACAGTTAACTAGGACGACTGCAATGTTTATTTAAACAAGCATGGATTTTGGAGGCGATTTCCAGTGTTAGCTGGCAGGCGGTCTGCGCGACGCGAATAGACTTTAGGAAGGCCAGTGTGACTGTGCAATAAAAGTACAATCAACAAACACCAGCAACTATACCGTACGACTGAGAAGCTCCGGTTGAACGCCCCAACCAAGTCCCAGATGCGGGGGCCGATCGACACTCGATGGCTTGGAGGGTTGTGGCGCTGCGGTGGGGCGTTGTCGGCGTCGCGTGACACTGAGCCACTGCCACCCGTCGCCGCCCAAACGTCGATACTCCTCACCCCGCGTCTTCCAGACGGTGTGACGAATCGGCTGAATGGTTTTCGTGCGCACCAGCGTGGCTGGCAGGCCATTGAAGGCGGCTGTTGAACGCTCCAAAGCACGAATGCGCTTCTCCTCTTCGCGTTGAGCCGACGTAAATCGGTCTAGTTGGAGGGGCCCTGGACAAAAAAGGTCGGTAGAACAAGGTGAGGGCATCATTAGTCCATTCGGTTTAGTGTAACTGACCCCCCAACCGACAAGAACGAGGGGTGCTAACGTACCAATAGAGGACGTCCAAATACGCTGGAAGACAACAGGGCGGATGGCAGCCTCAAGACGAGCCAGAAGGTCGGCGAGGTCTTGGACAGAGGTGGCCTTGAGAACAGCTGCAATCCAATCCTTGCGAACGAGTCGCCATGCGGGACAGAGGGCTGCAGCTGGGAGCTAGAGAGGAACGGGAGACGCACTTATGACTTGTCCGCGTTGAGGAAGCAACATTTCAACGAAATTGGGCTGCAACTACTTGAAGTTTGGTCTAGGGTAGACTAGAGATCAAGTCTTACCTGAGCCTCCACATAGCAGAGAGTGAGCTTTACTGTGTGGAGCCAGCGAGCGGGTCCAACCGCGTCAGCACGTCGCCTCAGGGGGGAAATGGGATCTGCGACCTCTCCCTCGTGCTCCGTCTCCTTCCCATCCTCGGAAGCTGAGACCGCGTGCAGCAGCATGTTTGCAGCAGCCTCTGAATCAAGCCACTGCCACGCCTCCATGGCCAAGTCGGTGAGAGAGAATTTGTTGCTTAGGAGACGGCGTCTCTCCTTCTCGTCGTGCTGCTGCAGACGGTTGAGGGCGATGTTCACACTCGCGTCCGCCGTCGCCTCCGAGGGATTCGGCACAAAGAGACCGCGGGAAAGCGTATTGGTCCAGCCACGCCAACGCAGTGGAGGAGGGGCCGCAGCATCAGTGGGAGGAAGTGGGGAGGCCACAACCGACGGCCTTGACTCCTAAAAAACAAGTGGAGGAACACTGTTGAAAAGGGCGGCAAACGAGCACACGGAAATGGGGAAATTCTGATTTTGTTGGTTGTGTTTAAATACACTTAAAGCAAGTGAGCCGCATTCGGAAATGTGGACAAAGGGGTAGCGCGAGCGACCGCATGAAATCGAGTGCGGCAAGTAGTTATTGGTGAAGAGGGCTGCATTTTGGACTTGTGGCGTGTCCACACAGCTGCTGAGTGCACCAACAAATCAATAAGGCGTTTTCTTGACAGATTACGCAGTTCGCGATAAAAGACTATCAGTACAAATCCTGACACTACGATATGCCGAGGAAAATTTGTGGGGACGACGTTGATCAAGAAAAGTATTCACACACAGCCTCTGTTATTCCGTCTATTTCATCAGTTAATGGGATATTTGAATGGGGACTAGAGATAGGTGGATGAGAAAGAAGAGGGGATGACTCACTGACAACTGCGCGGCATACTCCTCTTGCGAAAGGGGAAAGTTTTCGAATATTCCATCTTGGTTGTGCACAAGCACGCCTCCGGACATCTCGAGGACATACGCCCTCTTCATGGGAGACGTCATTGAGGTCTCCTCGTCGCCACTCAACTGCGAGTTGGAGAAGACAGATGTGAGTTGGGAGGGTGTCAGGGCGGGCGGCAAGGGCAGCAGTGGAGGCCACGTGGTTGGCTTCGTGTCAACCTCCTCGGCGTCTTCCTTCTTCATGTCGGGTTCACTAGCACTCACGCCATCGACCGCTGCGGTAACCATCGGTGCCTTTGATTCCTCTGAAAGGCAGACCATTGTAAAATCAAGAAGTGTCCTCCCATGACCTGGAACAGCAGTAAATGACAAGATTGCAGTCTGCATTGGAGTTCGTTGGCTTCTTTATCTACGTCCGATATCAAACTAACAAAGAGTGATCAAGACCTGAGTCGTGGTTGGTTTTGACCCCTAGATGTGCGGTTTGTCTTTGCTTAGAAGAAATGTCCGCTTACCTTCAGTCGGTTCAGGCTTCGTAGACGGCTTCACCTCTTGTACCTCGCTCTCGTCCTGCGGAATCAACGCGTCAAGTTGAGCACACAGCGCCGGTTCCCACTGAGTGGAAAGCTGCTGTCTAACTATCCGTATCTTATCAAGGGAGCTATAGTAGTAGACGTGAGGCTCATTAGCATAAGCAACCGTCGGGTCGCAAGCGCCTTCTGAGCCAACTTCGTCGCTTCCATCTTCCAGGTCTCCAGGTTTATCCGCCTCTAGACGCTCCCAGTTTTCGTCGTGGACGCCTGGGAACAGTCCCGGCAATTCGGGTTCCCGTTGGGCAAAGTCCACCGGCTCCCTAAAAGTAAGTAAGTGACTACACTACAACTGTTCCTACTCCCAACCACCTTATAGTGAAGGATCGAAGTTACTTACACAAACAAGCGGCCCTCAATGTGCCAGTACACTCGTCCGGCTCTGTCATAACCTAGTGAAGGAATGCGCACCTGGCCGGTTAATTTCGGAATCTTCTTTTTGCCATACGCCTCCTAGAATATCGTGGATAATGAATAATGTAACACATACCTGTTCGGTGGCACAGAGAGGACAATGCCACGAGGTATTTGGTACAGCAGCGAGGGGCGGTGTTAAGCAGCTGAGATGAAAAACGGCGGGACAGTTGTCGCAGCAGAGCACCTCACCGCTCTGTCGGCAAACACGGCAGAAGTCATCGTGCGCCGTGAAGCCCTCGCGAAGTATATCACCCCGAACCGGGCCCGTGGCGAGAAACAGACCAACAAGGCCACGCAGGATGGCCAAACGCTGCGGCAGACCAACAAACGGATACGACGGATCCAGTGGGATTACATCGTCAGGGAAGAAGAGGGCGGAGGTTACCACTACGTCCGCACCACCACTGGTTGTCACTGCCGCAACCGGACCCGCTGTGCCCACGGTCGAAATGCTGCCGACACGCGCTAGCGCCGTAATGGCAGCCGCCTCGCCTCGTTTTATGCTGGAGAGATATAGGGCGAGAATGTAGGGCCAAGTGTAGCGGTCAATTAAGAAGCCCGACATGAGCGAAAAGGCGTCTTTGCAATCAGGTGGACAGAGGTGAGTGCCATTAACCTCATCCTCCGTAATGAGCGCATTTAGCAAAACCATATGGACCTCAGCAAGGATGACAGAGTTCTCGTTAGCGACCAGGGCTGATAAAAAGTCCTCCAATTGAAAGGGGGATAAGCGCAGAAGGCGACCGTATTGTCTAAGTGTCCGATATATGGATACTGCTTCTAAAAGATGCTCAGGAGGACATAAAAGATCTTGAGAAGAAGGCGGCAGTGTGAGAGGAGGAGCCCGGCGACGCAACACAACAGCATTAAGCCAAGTGGAATCATTGGTTACCACGTTGTCTAGAAGAGAGCCTGCAGCGGCTCCATGTTCGTTAGAGTTATCAGGTTCAATTGAAGGTGGCGGGGGAAAATCAATGATTTCGTCGTCATCACCATATTCATTTAGAGGAGACTGTTCTCCATCACTTGCCTCGCTAGGCTTCGAAGAAGACTATAGAGAAAGGAAATTTAACGAATAGAACATCGTACCTGAGGATCATCAGTAGAGTTTGAGTACAAATGTGCAAATGGGAGTTGGGCTCGAGGCCTGCCAGGTCTTCCGGTAGCTCGAGACCTTCGTTCCTCACGCTTCAACTGCCTCTGACGTTTAAGCTAGATATGACAAACAAATGCACATTAGGAGCAGATAATAGGACGATTGAACAAAACGATGAACAATTACGTTAACTAATAAATGCAAGCAACTTCAAATCGCAATGAAAGCAAACCTCTTGTTTTCGTTTAATTTCTTCAGCCTCTTCTCGTTCCTTTTCTTCAGCAAGTCGCTGAAGGAAAGCATCGTCGTCTGAATCATCATCCAGAGGCAAGGCGCAGTCAGCCTCTTCACCATCACTGTCAAGCCATGGGCGTTTGGGATCAGTTGGACGTTTCTTTGATCGAGACTTCCGGGATCTTCGCTGTCTTGGTTTTTTCTTTAACTTTGACTCTCCAATTTCAGACACTTCTGACGCAGCTACAACGAGAGTACCAAAAATATCAAACTTGGCATAGTCACGAATTGCGGAAACGTAAAAATTAATAAAAATATTGAGAAAAATCGTCTGACGTACCTTCCTCTTGTTCTGATTTGGCCTGTCTATCAACTAATCGCCGGCATAAATTTCGATCAGCATCACTGATTGGAGTGTCAACACATTTTTGCTCAAAATCGACCCATTCAGCAGGATTAATGAATGTTAACTTTGGGCGTTTCTTGGGGCCATGGTCATCGCCACTCTCCAAAGGCATGTTGGGGACCTCAGACCGCTCGAGCGGCTCGTCCATAATTTCCAATTTTACTAAGGAAAACTTTTGTCAAGGTCACAACTAAATATAAGAGCAAGTGGAATGGATGGGATACTTCTGCTTTGAAATGTTCAGTTGTGCAGTAAAACAAAAACGAAAGTTAATATTTCAAAAAATTGCAAAATTTCAGTATTAAATAGGTCAAATAAAATCGAAAAATTCTAATGAAAAACTATCCCAGAAACATTAGTTTAGGCTATCCCTAAAGGAATGCTATTCAACTAGCTATTAAGAAATAGTCTCCAGCAAACCGCAGTTTGAGGCAAATGTGTGCTGGCGCAAAAAAAAACAATTATGTCAACTTTTTTATTTGTATATTTCAATGCATCGTATTTTTAATGTGTCCACCCAATATGATATAACATGTCTTCTTTAAAATCTATATAAATTCTAAAAAGTACGTAATGTCACCGAAGGCTCTTTCAGAATTTTTGCGTCAATACAAGTTAAAAAATGTTTTCGCTTGTAGTTGCTCACTGCATATTTTACACATCACCCATGCCAAAGCTAAGTAGCATCCACAAACTCCAATTTATTTTTTGATCGATTCATCTTCATATACTTTATTTTAGTAGCACAAAAACTTCACTGTAGTCTTGCCTAGGTTTGAATTTGATATTATTTTAAAATAAAATGGTTTTGAAGTATTTGGCCCAGATAAATGCCATGACATACTGCGTTGTCGTCAACATAAATAATGTGAAGTCTAATGTTTTCATTTCCTGTTTCAAAAGAACTTGTGTGCCTGAAAATGGGATATTTTAATTATTCCTGTTTACCTCTTCGGTATCTTAAAGCTCAAGCGACTCCTTTAATTTCCCCAATTGGA